CTCTACCTGGGGTCTGAATGCCTGAGACTTCTGCTGGTTTTATGTCATTTATTTTTTTCCAACAACCAAAAAGTTAGCTTTGCTAACTGCCAATCTGCTAAAAGAAAATAATAAATAAATAAATAGCAGAAGCTAATGCTAACTTATAACTGCTAACTTCAGATTCGTAATTTAAACAATGGCTGTGTCTCAATTCAGGGGCTGGGTCCTCATGAGTGCGCATTTGTCGGCCGCATACATCACTGCCCCGCGCAGAGGACTGTCCCAATTCGTAGGATCCACATCATGCGGCCGACAAACTTTCAAAATCCGAGGATGCATCCGTGTATCCTCACCGGCCGAGGATATCCCAGGATTCAGTAGCAAAATAAACAGAGAAACGAAGATGGTGGAGTTTTTTTTAACCTGTTGAAGCAGTTTGGAAATTCACCACGAACCGAAGAATTTGTTTCTAAAAGTAAGTTTAGCAACTGAGCTGATGAAATTTGTGCTGCAATAAGATGTTAAATTAAAAAATGCAACTACAAGTACTGATACTTACGACGGAGTATTAGGGCCACATAACAAGACTTTTTTTTTACTGTTTTAAATTACAAGAATAAAGTCATAATATTATGACAATAAAGTTGTATAAAAATAAAGTCATTATATTATGAGAATAAAATCATATATTATGAGAAAAAAAGTCAAAATATTGTAGCCTTTACACAAAAAAGCATGCAGTTATCACTGCATCAAAAYGAGGAATGTTGTCAAGTTGTTCTTTAGAATAGCTTAAAATAAAAAAGGTAATCTTTTAACACATTAGTTTGTTTGTATGTACATGTAATTTAGAAGCCCTGGGGCTCCAGAAACCAGCTGTAAACTGGTTCAAGGACCAGATAACAGACAGCAGTATGTAGATATCGAAGACGTAGCATCCAGTACAACAAAAGTGATATGCGGAGTCCCACAGGGTTTCATTCTCAGACCATTACTATTCCTCATATATGTTAATGACATGTCTGCTGCTGTAAACTGCAAGCTGCTTTCATATGCAGACGACTCGGCTCTCCTAGCAGCTGGTAAGGACAATCTAGAAATTTAACAAAGCCTCACATCAGAACTTCACTCTATCCACRAATGGCTTACAGACAACAAGCTWTCTCTTCATCTYAGAAAGACAGAAACRATCCTCTTTGGATCAAAATAAGGCTCAATGGTAAAGATCCACTGGACGTTAAAWGTGATGGCCACCCCCTCTCCAGCAAACCAAGTGTTAAATACTTAGTGTGGTGCTGGATGAAACACTCTCAGACAGACAAAGAGCTGACACTGTTATCAGAAAATCTAATGCCAAACGTCAGWTTCTGTACAGGCAGACGAGACATTTCAACATTAAAACCAAACAAATGCTGATCTCATCTCTCATACAGTCATTTTGAGTATTTATGTGCCTCATGGTACTCAGGMCTTCCCAAAAAACAGAAAACTCAGCTGCAGACCTCACAAAATAAAATACTCTGGTACCTCCTGAATGCCAACCCTCGTACACATATAGGTCACTCTGCCAACGGTTTAATGACAGACCCCATATTTGAGGAGGGGGCTCCTTTCAAAGAGGGGGTGTCAGGACATGCAAACATGCTTATAACTCAGAAACTGTTCAACATAGAAGCTTCAGA